GAATGAAGCCAGGGAACTTCAGTAGTATTTAGTATTTCAGCTGTTCATTCTGAACCACCGAGTGGGATTGATTTACAGGAGTCGAAGAAAACCCCACAGGAATTAAGTATCTTGTGTGTTTTTGAACAGAGTTCTTGATCACAGGCAGAATCAACATAATTATTCTCATTTCCTCTCTACAGAAATATTCTATAACAGATCGCTGAGTGCTATGGAAGGATCAGCCACAAAAAGCACTCATGGCCTTTATTCTTCGGTGGTATCCTTTGTTGCTTGTAGGGAGGCTCCTCCTGCTTTGTTTCCATTATGCCTTACATTCAGAACAGACACGAGCACCGCAAACGGGGTTCCATCCTGATGCACACTCCGTTTCTACGCAACGGTCTTGCAAGACGGTTCTCCTGCATTTCTACCACGGAAACAACCTGTCCTTAACACTGAGCTCAGATTTATGGTTCTGTCCTGACGATGCCAGTTATTGCTGCTGCAGATTCATCAACAGTTTCAGTCCTCTCAGCAGGTGTTTTTAAAAAACCAATAACGAGAAAAACACCACAATCACCTTTGAACTAAACTGAAAGAGATGGAGCTCCTCAAATAAAAGGGAGGGAGGAGCCAGAAGGCTCAGCTGCAAACTACTCTCTGCCAACCTTGTTTTTTAAAACACAAACCAGATGTGATTTGATATCTGGTTTGAAATAAAGGACAGAGAGAGAAAGAGAGAGATCTGGACTTGCAACAGATAAGATGGAAACATCGCCCTAAGTAAGAGGATTCCTGACTCCTGGGAGGAATTCATACTCAGTGTCCTGGAAACCACCAAACAAGATCGTATCTACCCAAAAGAGCACAAAGTGCCACACCCTCTCTAGCAGGATCCCTTCTCTAAATAAGCTTGTTGTATTGTTGTCTTGAAACAATTCTAGGACATGAAAGTCAACATTCTCCTTTTCTTAAGGGATGCTGCACACATTGCAACAGGAAATGCATTTTCCCATACAGGTACACAGTACTGTTGCAAAGTCAGAAGCTCCCTATAGAATGCACTTGTGCCACACACAAATTTTTAACACACATTTCACCTGGAGTTAATAATGGGGTCCAATTTTAATCTGTGGCGGCAAATTTTAAATAGTCGGGCCGCACAATTAGAGGTGCAATTTATTTTTTCCCAGGCTCTTTCAGTCTTTGTGCAACTCAGACTCATTTATTCTACTGTAAGTTTTCTCACTTCCTTCAGCATCTTCAAAAAAACTGAATCAACCATCTTCTCTGTTTGCCAACAGCATTAATGATAATGATGGCTTTCAGCAATGGAAGAAAGCCAATGCATGCAATTCAGAGCCAGCCACCTAAAGATTATGGCCATAATGCAACATAACGCGAAGGGTGCTTAAAACCTATGCAATCCGTGGTCTTAAGCCTTCACTGTCACCAGAAAACTCCCTTAACACATCATGTGGTAGATACTACCACTGCAAAGGTAGCCATGAAATGAAACACAGTTTCATGAAATGAAACTTATTTAGCCAGTACGTTTCATAGAGACATTTGCAATGGTGGCTGTAAGAATGAACCGGAAAGCCCACTGAACTAAATGCACAGGAGCTACTCTTCCATTAGAAAGGAGATTCATCTCCATTTTTTTGTCTGCTATCAACTCCAAAACAACCCCATCCCCTGGCTCAATCGCTAAGCTGTCGGACTGCATTAAAAAGGCTTTCCAGCCTAAGAGCAAAAAAGTAAAACACCGAATGCTCTTACAAAATGCCTCGCTTCGGCACTCCTAACAATGTCTTGCACCCCTTCATTTTTAAAAAAATGCCAGTTCTAGAAGCCAGAAATGACTAATATGTGGCAACATTATTTATTTGTTTGTTTGTTTGTTTGTTTATTTCATTCCTATGCCGTCCTCCCCTGTGAGCAGGCTCAGGGCAAGTTAGAACCGAATAAAAACAATTATCATACATTGCAATTATTTAGTTTAAAAAATAGTAACATAACTCCCAAGATGGGGAGGGTTGATCAACAAAAGCTCCTGGATGAGCCTGTATGTATGCCCAGATGGACCAGAGAGTTGGGCAAGTGCACATCAACCACCAACAGTAGTATATCCACACACTACATGCAGATGGAAAAGAGCGGGGGGAGCAGGGGAGGCCAATGTAAATAGACACCAGCTGCCTCAACAAAGGCCTGGTGGAACAGCTCCGTTTTACAGGCCCTGTGGAATTGTAACAAGTCCCAGAGGGCCCTGACCTCACCTGGAAGAGCATTCCACCAGGCCGGGGCCAGAGCTGAAAAGGCCCTGGCCCTGGTTGAGGCTAAGTGGATGTCTTTCAGGCTGGGGACTACAAGAAGATGCTGTTCTGAGGAGCGCAAGGCTCTCCAGGGGATGTATGAGGAGAGCCAGTCTGGCAGATATGATGACCCCAGACCACATAGGGCTTTAAAGGTTAATACCATAACCTTGAACCTGATTTAGTACTCAACTGGAAGCCAATGCATCTGACGAGGCACTGGCTGGATGTGCGCCCATGCAGATGACCCAGTCAGGAGGCATGCCATTGCATTTTGTACCAGCTGAAGTTTCCGAGTCAGGGTCAAGGGCAGCCCTACATAGAGTGAGTTGCAGTAGTCCAGTCTGAAGGTGGTGACCATTGCATGGATCACTGTGGCTGTTACAGGAAGAGAGGTAGAGAACCAGTTGCCTGACCTGGCAACATTCATGACTTGGGCCTCCACTGAGTGCAGTTCTCTACTGCGCTGCTCTCACAAAACAGCCAAAAAGGATTGCATTACCTAGCACGTCCGCTCCACCTTCCCCCTTCCACACGTATAACACGCTCAGAAGAATGCTCCGGCTTCCATAGCAGAAGGGCAAAGGAGCACCAAGGCAAGCAAACAGTACAAAACTGCGCTTGCTGAGCTGTGTGTCCGGACTCAAGATTCCCAGCAGAGTTTGAGCCAGGAGCAGTCAGGTAAGGATTGTGCCACTGGACAGCCCTGGCCAAAGAAAGGAACAAAAAGGGAAAACAGCAGAAGCCACCCAGGAAACTTCCTTATAACAACAGGCCAGAGCAGATGAAACTCCCTTTACCTATTCTGTGTTATTTTGTTTGGTCCATACCAAAGGTATTATGAGACTTTGTTTCCAGATCAATGCCACTAGCTGCATTTGAACCTACAAAGATTTACAGATCAGGGCTTCTTGAGCCACAAGGAGACCCGCCCCTTGCTGGTTACCAATCGTCTTTGCCTGACTCTGCCTTCCCTGGAACTGTATCTGACACAGGGACTTCTCCTGGGGAATACTGTATTTCCCACACCCTAAAGACGACGTGTTGGATCCAAAGGTTCCCTCTGGCTAACCGTAAAGCCTTTTGCAGATGGAACATGCCCTTCCACTAGAGCAAGAGTCTTTGAGACAGGGGAAGTCTCAGTTCAAGGGAAGGACTCACCATCACTGGAACAGAACATCTGGATAAAACCCTAAGAAAAAAACCCAAAACTTTAAAAATAATTAAAACTTCTCCTGACTTCAGCAGCTTCTCACATCTAAATACACACCATAATCCTTCTGGGCCACTCTCACATACTAAGTGACCAACAAAAGGTTGGTTTATCAGCCACGAAACTGCTTCCGTGAAGATAACTACCTGAATGTGTCAAACTGCTGCCAGTTAAGCTGGTGGTTACTGCAACTGGAATGTGAGTACCATATTGTGTTTGTACAACACCCTCCCCAAAGACATTTCCACAGTACTAACATTAGTAAGTGACATTAAAACTGGCAATTTTCAGAAACAAGTGGGAGGACATTTCAACCTCCCAGGATACTGGTACTGATTTAGAAGTCACCATTCCCCCCCCCCCAAAAAAAAAGCTTCTGAAACTGATGAATTAGAATTCATCAAGAGGTTCTGATACCCAACCACCCAAGTCTGAATAATGAAATGAAATGGGACTCACCCATCATTACAGTTACAGTCTTAGGTCCTCAACATGGTGCCCTGGGGCACCATAGCACTCGTCGACACCTTTCCTAGTTACTTCCAAGTGATTTTATACCCATGTGGTGCTTTTGCCCATTATAGCTTCTGACTGACTGGCTGTGCAGATTTTAAAGAATGTTATTTTAGCAGTACTTGCTGCCACCACATCACTGGACTGTGACTGACGGTAAGCTGCAGCAGCCCTTTTGTGGCTGACCCGGCCTCCTGCAATAGCCATTTGTGGCAGCCATTTTATGCCTGTGCCCAATCACACTGTGTCAGAATGCCAAAGGTGCCTGCATGTTCAAAAAGCTTGGGGACCACTGCTATAGAGCTATTATGAACAGTCTCTGTTCTTTTCTTGATTACATTTGAATTTTTAGCTAAGTACATCTCACCCTGTTCTTTCCTGAGCTTCATGGACCTCAGACCATGGTTACATTTTTATCTTCATAATCGCATACGTACGTCTGCATGGTGAAGGCCCATATCCACTACATTCATCTGCCAAGTTCTAGTCCACAAAAAGCTCGTGCTGGAATGAAATCCTGTTAGTTTGTGCTGTGTCATTAGACTCCTGCCTGTTGTTGCTGCCACAGACTAACACGGCAACCTTTCTGAAACTATCATCGTTTAGGTCTCACACTAAAAACGGGGTGTGTGTGCGTGCGTGTGTTTGACTTGCATAGACAATGATTGTTTTTTATCGATAATGTATAAAAACAGAAAATGTGTTTTTTGCTGATTCATGTTTCCCTGCCCTTTTCAAGGGAGTCTTATGCGGTTCTTAGGTTGGGCTTTGGATTTATGTTCAACTACTTTTAATACTTGCGAGCCATTCTGAATGCTGATTCTAAGACAGGACATAATAGTTTAAAGTAAGAAAACAAATGAGGACTCTCACTGTGCAAGTAATACCCCCCCCCATCTGATTCTTAGTCACTTGGCACCGAGATTCACATATCCGTGGCTGTCACTTGCAAACATTTGCCCCACCATTCTTACCTTTTCAATTTTCTCATCCAGCATTCTGAAAAATTCCTGTTGGCTTTCAGAGATGTGCATGCTGAAACACAAGAAGAACAGCGAATTGAGAGGCTCAGAGGTATTCACAAATTGTTGCTCCTTAGACACCCACAGCTCTTATGTCTAGCTTAAGGGGTGCCACTTTCAGGAGGGAGCAGAAAATTCCACCTCCAATCTAGTGGTGTTTCTTGTCAACAATACTGGCAAAAGGACCTAGTGGTTAACATACAGCACATTTTATTTATTTATTTATTTATTTATTTAAAAAACATAAATTTTATTAATTTTCAAAATTATAGCATACAAAGTAATAGGATCAATTCAACGAGCTACAGCAGTTGATAACCACAGAGCATCACAATAGCAAGAACATCAACGTCTAAATATAGTCTTATGAACTCAAAGAACTTTTATTGACCTCTTGACTCGAATTATTTATTTAATTCATACCCCGCCCTCCCCGCGAAGGCAGGCTCAGGGTGGCTTACACAATTTGATATGTAAATAACAATTCAAATCCACATTAAAATAATCTAAAAACAGTTCAATTATAAACAATTCAGTGTCATAAAGTGCTAGAGATAATTAATTGCCCTGCCCTAAGTCTGATGCACCAACCCAACAACAACAGCATGTCACAATTTAAAGGACCCTGCCCTTCCCCATGCAAGTGATCCTAACAGTCCTGAGGCCGTAAACCTATGCACGCTTGCTTGAGAGTAAGCTGCAATAAATGCAGTATCTAAGTAAATATATATGGGATTGGGCTGCAGTCCTATGCACACCTATTTCTACATCAACATGTACAGATGTGAGCTGTAAGGATGCAATCGTGTTCACTCTTACTTAGTGTTGAATAAGCATGCATCGCAGGCCGAGAGAATACAGCTCCCCCGAAGAGGGGAGAGGAATGGTTGGGTCGGCTCCCCCTCTCCCCCCTTTCCAGAAGAAGCCACTTGGGCAGGAAGCAGAAATGGGAAAGGGAGGCAGACCTGACAGAGAACTCTGAACTCATCTGTCGCATGTGCTGCTCAGAGGCTGAAATAGGGAGTGGTGAAAGTAGAGGTTCCTCAAGACTAACAAATGGGGCAGGGCTAGCAAGGGAAAACTGGCAGCACTGCCAAATCCAGTCCCTCCACTCACTACACCCCACTCCTCCTCAACAATTTAAAAAGGGGGTAGGGGGAATCCTTGCATGCATTCCTTTTTTTCAGGCCTATAGCCAATTGCAGGTGGCATCCAATGAAGCTGATGGGCGGCAGACTGACGATGGACAAAAGGAAATACTTCTTTACACAGAGAGTGATTAAAAGGTGGAATTCACGGCCGGAGGATGTAGTGACGGCCAAAGAAATAGACAGCTTTAAAAGGGGGATTAGATAGTTTCATGGAGGGCAGGTCTATCAGTGGCTACTAGCCATGGTGACTAAAGTGAATTTCCACATTCAGAGGCAGTCAAGCCTCTGAATCCCAGAGCCAGGAGGCAACATCAGGGGAAGGCCTCAGCATCTATGCCCTGTTGTTGGCCCTCCAGAGGAACTGGTTGGCCGCTGTGTGGACTAGATGGGCCACTGGTCTGTTTCACTGCAGGGCTCTTCTTGTGTTCTTATAGCAGGTAGCTGGAGGAGGAGGAGGAGGAGGAGGAGGAATTATAACAGCATGGGGAGAGGAAAATGACCAAACATGGGGCGACAATGGTGTTGGTGAAAGGCACCTAAACGCTATCAGTGCTACAAAGCACGTCAGCCACTGACTGAGCCATACTTTTACCTATCCAAGAATCCCCATGCAGTTTCCAAGCCCACAACAGCTCATAATAAGTTGACAACTCAAAACGAACCTCATCAGCCACAACATGCTGAGCTATACATGTGGCAATTACAGTTCATGGGCATGCATGTGCACTAGAGACCAGGCATATCCACACAGAGAAAACTTTAGAGTTGCAACTCTGAGATTGGCTGGAGGGAGGTTGAAACCACCAGAACGGCATCTTGTATTTTGAAAAAGGCCCTTTCCCCAAAGGTAAAACAGGGACTGTGATTTAGCAGGAGAAAGTACGGGGAGGGGGGGGGAGGCCTTTCCTGGGTAAACAGCAGTCATTGAGGCATACGTATCACAGGGCTACATTCTGGCAAGACTCGAGAAAAAAATTTCTCTTAAAAGCCCTGTTGGGATGAAGATGGAGCCTGGTGGATAGACACGTGCCTGTGTTGAAATGTAGTAATTTTACAAAGCCTCCCATAGAACAAATCAGCAAGACAAGCAAAGCTACTGCAATTTACAGCTTTACCCTCAAAGGCCCTTCTGTAGAGCTCAGATTTAGCACAGTAACTCTTTACATTATACTCATTAGAAATTTCTAGTATACACTGACATTTCCCAGGTTTCCCTACTCGCCCCCTCCCCTTCACTTCTCTTAAGGCAGGAGGTTGGATAATTTACTTCCATTAACTCCAGTGTACCATGGGGCCCAGGTCAGTGAGACTATGTTTCACAGTTGTGTGCAGGACTGGAAAAAGAAAATACTATTATTAGTTATTGGTAATGTGCTGTCAGTGCGTTTGTGTGGTACAGGATGCAAGATGACAGACCCTGCCCCAGGGGAGCTTAAGAGGCAAACACACACCGTTAAGGTCAGAGGCTTTGACAAAGTCAGAGGACACAGGAGGCTGAGCGGATGTGCTCTGGACATTTGTGTGTGTGTGTGTGTGTGTGTGATTGGATAGCCCAGTCATAAAATTCACAGGAAAAAAATAAACTCGGGCTTGTTTCTTAAGGGGGTCCGGAATATGTGAAAACCTCAACTCTAGAATCAACGTTTCAAAGGAAGCGAGGTACCGAATGACAAGAGGACCACTTTACATGCTTCGTGCCAGATGTTTTCCCCTCCTTCCTTCATTCATCACGAACACATAGTGTTGTCTCTCTCATTTTTCATTCTGCCTTTTAAAAAATTAAATAGGCACAGCTCAAAAGCTTGCATGCTTATGCCACAAGGGATGCACAGGATGCTGCAACTCGACAAAGAGCACAGAAAGACAGGGCAGAATGGGGCACTGGCCACAACATTCAGCTTCCTTAAAATCTTGCATTTGAAAGAAAAGGCAAGTTTCTGGTCCTTATTTTTTTACAGATATGCTTGAAAGTGCTTGCCAAAATCTCAGAGGAGCAGCTACAGAGCTCCCAGTGGACCACAGGCACCCAGCACAGCTCCTAGCCCTTTCCCAAACAGCAAAAGTAATGTAAATGGCACAAAAGAGACACAGGGGCAAACTACACAATCTGTTTCTTCACTCAGTTACACGAGTTTGCCCATGTTCCTCGCAGACCCACATGCACAGATACTTCACATAGAACAGCATAATCAGAGAAATAATTCTTCCCCCATGCAGTCTAGGGGGAGGCTGTTCCAAGTCTGTTTGCCCCCCCCCCCAGTTCTCTGCAGATGCTGTGTAGCTGTGAGAAACACATGCAAGCTAGCATAAACAAGTGAAGAAACAGATCACATAGTTTGCCTCACACTTACAAATGAAATGACAGAAAATAAAAGGAATGTTGTAAAACTCAGCAAGCCTTTTTGAGTAGGGAAGTTGGATTGTCTAGGTGCAGAATACCTCCTAACTCAGCATACCAGCTGGTACGCTTCAAGGGAACAGACTATCTACACCCTTTTAGTGCCATATTAAAAACAGAGCCACCGGGCAGCATGTGACAGTCAAAGCCCAAATTTTAGAAAGCTATTTCTGAGCTATCTACCAATACCACAGTAGATAAATCCTCAATGAGGCTTAAAATGAACATCTACTATGCAGTGAACCCCAGCCTTTTGATGCCCAGGATCCACTTTTTAACCCCCAGGCAGCAGCATGGGATCCACTGGTGTTCTGAGCATGTGGCAGGAAGTCATGTGACAGAAAGAGTCTGCATTCTGACCTCACTTAGTGAGGGTAGACTCCCTGCTACAGGTATTGCATAGAGAACTGCATAACTGACTGATGGAGGGGGGACGTGACTGGGACAGAATGAGAGGACTGGCCGAAAGAATGTAAGAAAACATTTTTGTGAGACATCTCTGAACATCTCTGTGCTGAAAATGAGTCCTGTCCTTAAAGACTATTGTAGTAGATGATCGACTATTCGAACGGCCACTCACAATGTGAATCTTTAAGTTCAGTACTGTATGACCACCACATTCCCTCCCACCTTCATTCATAATAAACACACAATGCTGAGAAAATGGGGGTTCAATTAAAAATGCAAGTTTGTACAGGAAGAATTTATTTCTACTTAGTGACTGCATTTACGTCTTGCTTTTCTTCCCAGTGGGGACCCCAAGTGTCTTACATCATTCTCCACTCCTCCATTTTATACTAGGGGGGGGGGGCGCCTAGGCTGAGAGAGAGAGAGAGAGAGTGGATGGTCCAAAGCCACCCAAGCAAGCTTCCACAGCAGAGTGGGGAATCACACCTGGGGTCTCTCAGATCTACGTCTGACACTCTGTCACACTACAAGGGCTCTCAAAATTGTAAGCCAAACAACAACAAAAAACCCCAGAGCCGTCAACTACCAAGGAATGGAAACACAATTTGCAAACTGATTTTAAGGAAGAAAAATCACCATTCAAAACCTACAAGGCCTGCTTCATTCAACTAAATTACTATTTTATTATTTATGTACGACCAGTGTACATTTTCTTTTCATACAAGCGCGCGGGGGGACAGGGGGGGGGGACTTTTGCCCTGAGGAACCAACGCAAGGAAGACAGAAGCAAAGATTAACAAAAAAGGGGGATAAAATGTAAGTAACTGCCATCGCATACTGAGACTTCCTCCTTACAAATTCCATGTGGAAGATGGTTAGTTCAAACAAGGCTTGTCTGTGCCCTGAGCCAGTTCTCTCCACGACCACAACTGCCCTTTGAAAAAATTGGCTGTGTGCTACCCTTTCATCATGAGGGACTGATCTGGAAGAATTCAACAATTTGAAGTACCAAAGGTGGCTTATCCTGTTAATAAGCCAGCGAGGGCTCTTGAAGAA